TCGGTTGTTTAAGGATCCAAATAGTCAAACCTGGGAGGAGTGGAATGAATGACTGATATACATCTTCTTGATATCAGGCTTCCACCACTCAAAGGACGGGAGTTTCTTCCCAAAGCGGGTGTGGAAGCACCTAAACATATTCCTGATCTTCTATTTATCTAGAATACAGATAGTTATGTGAGGATTGAGCTTTTTAAAAGAAAAAAGGGTCGATTAATCTCAGGTAACAAAATGATAATTAAAGGTTACATGATTGGGATGAAGCTCTGGCAACAAGTCCTGATCTCGGAGACGATCGAACCCTTGAGGTATTGCCTCGGGGACATCTAGGGGGTAACATCCCTGAACCCAGCGGTTCCTTTAAAACAATTCCTGAATCAGGATTTATATCCTGAGCTTCAGCAGGTTCAGAAATTGACAGCACCTAAAAGTTTTAGTAATATCGATAAAAATAACTAAATATTTTTGTGTTTCAAATAAATTACTTGATTTAATATTATTTTTTTGTCATAATTAACAATGTTTTAAACTTTATATGTTAACATCTTCATGTGGAAAGATCGAAAAATATTTAAACTATAAACTTTTCATGTATAGTTTAACTAATTAAAAATGAAAATTTTAAATTAAGTTTTTTCTTCAGTTAACTATGTTTATTTATTTTTTTTTCTTTGTAAATCTATTATGGCTAGATATATTATTTTGGAAAAGTAATAAGAAATAAGGAATGGAAAAAAGATTTAAGACGAAATGTTCTTCATTAACGTTCAGAGAACACTTTATTTCATAAAACATATATTTTTGGTTGCCACATATATCGAGACAATATTATGTCATATAGAGCTGACAAAGTCAACAATTTCAACCACATCATGTAGCAGCGAGTTGGAGTTGACCACCCTACAATTCTGTCTGATTTGTCCTTGAGTTCCAGTGAGAGGTGTAATGTTTCCCATCCTATTCATGGCTTCAACAAAAGCATTGAAGAATTTTTGAGTGCCATCAGCATATTCTCTCACCAAGGGGACTGTGTCAGTGGCATTAGGGCTGGAAAACAACTCTTGATCGGTTTGGATAAGTCCCTTTAGCTCTTTCAGATTCACATAGTATTTATTGTCAAAAACTGTCGGTGTACGAAAATCGAAATCGACCAAGACGGTCTGATTACCATTCCGGGGACATTGTCCACGAAGTGTCTGGAGGTATGTAGTATTAAGAGTAGGGTCGGGTAAACCAGTGTTGCTAAAGTTGTATAGCCTATCCATAATAAATTGGCATTGGTTTTTACCAAATGTGTGACCACCTAACCAAAATAAGAGATAAGTTAACAATAAAGTTTTTAAACTTATTAGAGCATGAAGATTCTTGTTATTATATCTCATAATAATTACCAGAGAGTGCAACGAGATCAGAGGGACGGTTAAGTCCAACATTTTGAAAGCTAGCCTTAAGTTGTGGGAGCGTGAAAAATGGAGCGGGAAGATTTGCATTAGCGAGAGCAAAGAATGCTTGTAAGCTATCTCTTCTCCCCAAAGGAACCCTCCAAGAAGGACCTCCTGCCTACAACATTTATATTTAAAAATAATAATTTGTTTACGAAAGTATATCTTACCATGTCGAAGTGTTAGTTACTATGAACAAAACCAAAAAGACAAATGTATAATATAAATTCAACAATTAGGTTCTCAAAGTTATGCATGGGTTTTAAATTTTTTAGAAAAATATGATTATGTTCTTTATATAGTTACCAAAATAGGAGACTTGATATTTTTATTGTAATGAAATTTATAATTGTAATGAGACTTCATATTATTACCATGCGTTTTAAATATTTTTCACAATGAATCTTAAAGACATGTCAGGTATAGTAGATAACCTTTTTCAATACTATTAATTAAATCTAAAAGGTATAACTTCCAAGCTGCAGCAGTCCATCTATTTATTGCAAATTTGCAATACTATGTTGTCATGTTTTAACATGTTCCGTGACGACTTCACAGAAGAATTTGAGACAATGTTTGTAATAAATGAAAAAAGAGAGATAAATTTAATGGTGCATACCAGATTTACAGATTGTTGAGCTGCGATGGTAAGTATATCTGCGCATGAAACAGTCCTTGGACATGCTGTCTCTACTGCTGCTTTCATTCTATCAATCACTGGAAATCCTCGAGCCGAGTTTGCGTTTGGAGCAGCGTCTTTCTCAGTTTGAAAGGATGTTGTGTTGTCTAACAGAATCGATGCATCACAGCCCTTTACAAACAAAAATTATTTGTTCACTAATTCGTCAACATATATTAATAAACATAATGATATATATATATATATATATATGTATTTTCCATAATGATATATTTACTATAACTACAAAGAGTGTTAGTTTGCAGTTTCATTCACTAAAAAGGTTTGTTCTTCTTAAGTAACGCGTGATGATATAGTATAAACAAATTAGTATTCATTTTAGTTTACTTTATATAAATCTTCTAACACATAAATTCAACATTATGTATTAGGTTAACAACTACATCTGATTCGAGAGTTGAAACTTTCCCAGAAATAATAAATAAACTTTTGAACGATTTATATAATATGAAAATATGTTATTTTCTAACCTTCATTAATAAATGATTGATATAAATTCGTAACGTGTTTGGTATGGTACGGGTCCATGCTTTTCTTAAATTATTATACGAATAATTTACGTTCGTTGAATGGGAGATCAAATCTTACTAAACGTTGTGGAACCATTTTCTTAATAAGTGATCATGATAGTCATCTTGACGACAAGAGGTCAAGAGCTAAGATACTCGACAGTAAAAACCAAAAAAATATCACATCTAACTACCGGAAATTGTATATGTGATATATATCTCGAAACCAGATTCGTTAATTAGCCCAGTGACCTATAAGTGTGGATAACAAACATATCATGGTAACTAATACTACATATACAAATATTAGTCTAATTAATAAAATCATCTAAACCTTTGAATAATTTATATATACGAAGGCCATAAACCACGTCTTTTCGTTTTGTAGTTATCAACAAACCATGTGTTATTTAAAACTGACAAAGACGTAACTGGTTTTTCTTGAGTAGCACCTTTATCCCATATTTATCAGAAATCAATTATCATAAATACAAGCCTATCCAAACTGTTAATTAGAGTAAGTTGACAAAACAAATAGTTAGAAAATACATGAACAATATATATTCCGTTATATACATATTTCAGAAAATTGGAAAAGGAAGTCTTTGATGTAATTATAAAAGTTTTTATTTTTTTTGTTAAAGGACGTAATTATAAAAGATACTAACGTATACATATATATATATATATATATATATATATATTTCAAACGAAAGTTTACTTCAAATCTGTTACCAAAACAAAAAATAGTTTACTTCAAATTGTTTACCCAAAAAATAAAAGGTGAAAAATAATTATATTACATTGACGAAGCAGTCGTGGAAGTGAAGACGAAGGATGCTTGCAGCGATACGAGGATCTGATCTTAGCTCGTTTACGATGGTGTCCCGTACGATGGTAAAGACGTTGGGGCATGTATTGTCATAGAAGGTTGGGGTTAGCTGAGCACTGGAATTGGATGAATGAAGCAGAAGACAACCCAATGTTATTAGGGTTGTCAAAGTTGACAAAGAAGAATAAGAGAAATTCATTTTTAGTAAGAAGAAACCTATTTGATTGATTTAGTTTGAGAAGATGAGGAAGCTCCATATCTTCAAGGATCCTTTTATAGGGGGAATGGCCGAATGGGTCCATCTTTTTTTGTGAACTAGTGATCTATATTGTTTTCATTTTTACCAACAGCTAATTCTAATATTTATTTTTAATAACGTATACAGTATAATTTCATTCAAATTAATAATGTATAGACTGTATATATCAACACTAATATTTTTATATTGTATATTAACACTAATATATCCCGAATTCCCGATGATGAAAAGGATGACTAATCTCTTGGTTGTCTTATTTAATAGGACGCATGCTGTCTACATAAATCCAAACACTAGTTAATATATATATAGTAAGAATTCCATAATGCTCTCATTCATATCCATCAACATTTACATGCATCGATTAGTGATTTATATCTATTCTTCTATACACATAAAATGTATAATTATATGTTGACAAAAGAAAAATGTATAATTATAGTTGTGAATGTAATTAATGAATCACATAATTAAATTCATTTTATCGAAAATATAAATTTAAATTCATAGATAACCGAAAAATATTTGACTCACTAAACTAAAATTAAAATCAGCAAAAAAGTGTAGAAAATAAATATAGAAATATATTGTATCTACTTTAACATGAATATATTTTACAGTTCAACTTCTCACAACGGAAAAAGAATATAAAACACAAACAAGTGTTGTTATAGAAGAAAAAGAATCAGAGACCGTCTAGAACAAAAATTAAATCGTGATTATATAAATGTGGTTTGAGTATAATTATTTTAAGAAAGTTTTGATAAAAAATTATTAAAACTTAATGCAACAAATTTTTTTTTTCTTCAAATATTACTTTGTAGAGATAAATTATTTTCTTACCTTAATTTATTTTTCATTCGTTAAAAGTTTTTTTTTGAAAATATATTAATGTTAATTTTTGAGGGCTTAAATAAATCTATAAATTTTTATATAGTATATAAGTGATTGAGATGAAAAATAAGGAAAGTTATTTATTTCTTGAAAATAAGCACGCATGTCAATCGAACTACCTTGGTCCGGTCTGGTCTGAAACCCGTAAATTCTACATATATTTGAGTTCGATCTGGTTTGGTCCAAAAATATTCTATTGCTAAATTTTAAAGCCCGTCACTCAAGGGCTATAAGAGTTTTCCGGGCTTTTCCGGTTATAAAATGATCCTACACTACAAGAAATATGAGCATTGATAGCACATTACGATAGCGCATTTTCCGTTACTGCTATTAAAAATAGGATTATGAGTTTGGTAACTCTATCATAACATTTAGAAAACGCTATGCCAATTAATAGCAAAGAGGGAAACTAAAATCACTTGACCGCCAACAATTTCTCAAAATATTACACTTAGCGCCCACAAAAAAATTATTTGGCAAACCTAAATTGTTTATGACAGCCACACTTAGCCAAAAAAATTAGACTTAGATCCATAGTATCTCGACCACAAAGAACAAATTATAAACATACCAACAAAAAAAAAATTCACTCGACGGAGAATTTTCGTTATTCTCCGATCTACATCTGTTCTCTCTTCTCTCTACTTCTTCTTCATCTTCTTCTCTTTATTTTTCGCCGATCTTTCTTCTCAGATCTGTCGTTCTTCTGCTGAAATCAAATTTGGAACAAAGATCTACATACCCTTGACTCAATTGTTATTTTGATTCAGTGTTGGAGCAACGGAGTCGCGAGGGTGGTGACGAGGATGCGGAAGATGGAAGAAGAAGAAGCTGAGAGGCGGATCCATCAGCAGCGTCACCGTGGAGGAGAATCGCCACGGGAAGGGAGAAGATGAATGACAATAATCTCGACGAAACGGTCAAACGGGAATCAAAGAGAGAGAGAGAGATTCATGTCTCGGCCCTTCCTTTTTTAAGCACCGACTTCCCTCTCGATGGCTGGTGCGTAGTAACAAATTCGATTTTTTTTTTCTCTAAACCCTAAAATTTGTCTACTCATTGCTCGATTGATGGAAATAGGAGAGGTTTGGGAGCTGTTCATGAGCTCATAAAAAGAGAAAGGGTCTACGAGGAGGTTGATTTTGAATTTGCTTCTCATTTCTGTTTGATTTTGAATTGAATCAGACTTTGGGTTGGTTTTTTATTTGTCTTCCTTTTGATGTGATTTGGTTTTGTAGGGCATTGAGAAGCTTGTAAAAACCCACCGTTGAAAAGAGAGAAACAAGAAGTGTTTTGGGTTTTTATCTCGATTTAGCTTGACAGGTAAAGTTTTGATTTTTTGTTTCTTAATCATCGCAGATACTAAATCGAATTGCCATGGCCAAGAACTCCTTCAAGCTTTCTAAATCCTCTGGGTTAGTTTTGTTCTTTTCTCTCTTCTTCTTTTTACTTTTTGCTTGATTGATATCACTCGATAAGAGTTTAAAGAATTGTTGTTGATGATGTTTACTTCTTTGGTTTCTTTTGATCTTGTTTTGCTTTGGATTGTGTTGTGGTTCTGATCTTTGTTTAAGGAACTCAATTTGGATTAGCCTGGTTACGAGTTTGAGATTGGTTTCTCTGTTTGTTGGTGATCAACATCTATAAGTGTGTTAACCTTGACTGGTTTTAGTTGTTGTGCTTAAGTCAGGTTTTTGTCTTCTGCATTGACTCTGAGTTTCACTCCTATGCTTATCTATATTTGCTGAGAGTGTTGTTAGAAGTATTGCTAAGGAAGTGTTGTTTGATTTCGCATACCTTTTTATGCTCTTGTAAAAGCTTATCATTTTGTCGTCTTGCTTTGGCCAGAGTTTGTTTACTATTTTCTTAGACTACAGTTTGCAATGTCTTCGATGTATAGGTTGAAGCAACTGTTAGAGCTACATGGCAGTATCCAGAATGTTTAGGTGAACCCCCATGCCAGGTAACCCCGACCTAATTTGGAGCTAATTTGGGCATGCAGTTGGAGCTAATTTGTTTTGCTGCCTCAAGTGATTGCAGCTCAAGATATTGCTGTCTCAAGTGCAGTCTCAAGTGCAGTCTCAAGTCAAGTCCCAAGTGAGTGTCTAGCCCAAAACTCTATATATATAGATTAGAATTAGGCTCAGCTTAGATGAGAACAAGTTTGTTAATTTTGGCACTTGTAATCTTAGTTTAAGCCTTGGATTGAGACTTTTTACTTGTATGGTGTGGATGATTTATGAAATATAAATATTTTATATAAATTTCAAAAGAGGTTTTCACAAATGTGAAATAATATGAACATAAAACGCAAGTATTATTGCATAAAATAATCGTCATAACAAAATATATTACAGCGTTTAAAATGAGCACCTAACATAGCAAGAAAAATGACTTATTACATAATTTATAACAAATATAAAGGCGATATAACAAAGCGTTTCACTAATGCTATGGTAGAATACTATATCATAGCATACAGAAAAAACGTTATCGTATGTGGGGGGTCTACCATAACAGGGGCATAAGACAGCGTTTATGAAAACGCTATTAATGACATATAATAGCTCTTCTCTCTTGCTAATAATGTAGAAATTTCTTGTAGTGCTATGAAACCACGAGTATTCATTAAACAGAACTTAATATAAAATCAAAAGCTTAAAACAAAATTAATTGTTTAAACTTATACTAAATAAAACAAAGGGTGAATTTGTGCAGAAGGAAAAATGGGAACATAAATTAGGAATTCGACATTATGGTTTACTTGTTCCTGACAAGAGAATAATAATTGATGAAAATGGGTCTGATTTGTGAATGTCCAACACGAAAAGTATCGATCTATGCTGATTTGTGAATGTCCAAGATCTGGGAAAAAGAAACGACTAATATAGAATGGCCGGTTTTTTTTGCAAACGACGGAGAAACTGTAGATTTAAAACCAACGACGGTGACTAGGAGCACAAAAAAAAACAAAATCAACCTAAGATTTCATTAGACTCAAGAAAACTCCGGAAAAACGCGGATGAAACTAAACCGACTGACTCTTAAAAGAACCAACTCCATACCGTAAAAAAAGATGAAAATTCTTGGCGAATGTGAGAAATAGAAACAACGGCGAAAAAAGAAACGTCGCCGGAGAAGAGATACAGTGATTGGAAGAAAATAAAAAACTGATGGATTGATATAGAAGAGAAGTTGGAAACGCAAGAGAGATGATAGTTTGCATAAATGAGAGAGACACGTGGAAACACACGTAAGGCTATTTTTGGCAAAAAAAGAGGCTGCAATTTTCTATGTTATAGACCACGACAAGAGTTTATGAAAAACTAATTAGACTCAAAATCCTTGTCTCCTGACCAATTATCTCAAAAACAAAAGACTTCATACTACATTATATTTTAGAGCCAAGATTTAAATCCGCTTCAATGCATTCTAAATCTTCTTTTGCTTCAATATATTCTTAATGTTTTCACGTCATCAAATTCTATACATAAATAAATTAAATTCTGTGAAATTTTGAATTATATAAATCATATAAGGCGTCACTGACGGTATATGGAGTATTTAAGGCATCAGAACTGTTGTTAATATGAGACTATTTTCCGACTTCACGTATTCACCGTGGTTGTGGATAGTCGCTAAACGGTCTTAAAATAATAGTAAATATTTTGACTCAAAATATCGTCGCAAATTATGGTTATATCACACAGATTTTCTTGTAGTATAAGTGTATAACACGTCTCTAAAACAGTGCATTTGTAAATAGTTGTGTGTTTTTCTTAAAACTCAAAACTATCATAAGTCAATCAAGAATGGAGTCCAGAAGATACCTTAAAATATTGTTGAATTTCAATTAGCTATCTAATTAGGTGAACGGTTTCAAATCTTTTATATATATTTATTTTGTACATTTCCTCTTTTCAGGCGATAGAAAATTGAATTTCTATTATAATGTCAAAGTGACAAGTTTTCGCCTTCTTCACGTTAGCATATTTTCTTTGTCCTAGCTGCCCCTTAGATTTCTTGGAATAATGAGCAATTGACTTTGAATTCTTGATGAAACTATTAATGTCATTACGAAATTATGGACTTTTGAGGTGTCTACTAATCTACTCTGAAGCGACCCTAATTATTTTATTCCATATCTCCGACAATCAGCAAATATTGATGACAAAAGCGAAGCAACATAGAACCAAGGACAAGCCAGAAAAAACACATCGAAAATTAAAGATGCAATGTTACTAACTACTAAAAATATTTTTTAAGAGAAATATCTTACTAGAGAACTAAAACAAGTTTTGTAGACAATTATAACACACATTCTACAAATTTTCAAAATAGCATTAGTTGATACACTCCTAACTTTTTGTTTCATATATACTATCACTAGTTTATTTTTCCAATATACCACAAATTTTTATATAAAAATTTTATTCAACAAAAATAAATACTATTACTAATTTATCGCATCTTTTCGTTAAATATTTACGGTTATTTTTTTACAGTTGTGTCTTTTTATCGCATCTATTCGTTAACATATTTACGATTTTTTTACAGTTATATTTGTTCGATTACATCTATTCAGTTTACAGTTGTGTCTTCATAGTTACATCTATTCATTTCAAGTTACGTCTCATATCATATAAATTTAAATTTTGGCTTTTTAACTAAAGTACATACTTTACGGTTGTTTTTTTCATACAGTTGCAATATGAATAAATATTTTTTACGGTTGCATCTTTTTATTGTAACACCTCATAAACAGTTGCGATTGTTTAGTTGAACCATTGCATTATTTACTTTATTTAACGAACAATTACAAATATAATTTATGGTTGGATTTTTAAGAAAGTTGCGATCCGATTGTGTTTATTAAAATATCTTCTACGGTTGCGTTTTTTTATCATAACTTTTCGTAAACGGTTGCAACGGTTTAGTTGAACCATTGCAACATTTAGTTTATTTCACGAACAAATGTAGCTCTTTGATTTATGAACTTTTGAGATGTCTACTAATCCACTCGAAAGCGACCCTAATTATTTTATTCCATATATCCGACAATCGGCAAATATTGATGACAAAAGCGAAGCATCATAGAACCAAGTACAAGCTAGAGAAAATGCATCGAAAATTAAAGATGCAATATTACTAACTACTAAGAATATCTTTTAAGAGAATTATCCTACAAGAGAACAAAAACAAGTTTTGTAGAGAATTATAACACACATTCTACAAATTTTCAAAATAGCATTAGTTGATACACTCATAACTTTTTGTTTCATAAATACTGTCACTAGTTTATTTTATACCACAAATTTTTAAATAAAAATTTTATTCAACAAAAATAAATTAGAAATAAAATTTAAATAATATATTTGGATTTTCTGTTTCCTATTTCTTATTTAGGGTATACATTTTCATTATTTAAAAGAAATTTTGATTTATTTTAATATTGTATTTTGGATTAAGAACTTAAAAATACTGTGTGGGCAAGCCTTAGCTTCTATCTATTCTATTCCCCTTAGATGGATTAAGAAATTTAAAAGAATTACGCTTTATTTTAGGCAATTATAGCATTGTTTCAAATCTCTTTTATATATTAAACTAGATTTTGGTACCCGGGTGTTGCGCGGGATTTTAATTGAAAATTTCTTCTATTATTATAAATTTTTGAACATAAAATATAATCATTAAAACTTAAAAGATAAATATTTTGAGTATAAATATAATAACTCAAAGTTTAAAAGATAAATCTATATAAACACTAAACTTATTTTGCGAAGCGATATACAACATTTATATTGTCGACTATAATGTTTCTTTGACAAAAAAATCGTTGGATATATATCACGTGGTAACAAAGATCACTTAAAAAATTTGCGGGAAGGATAAACGGTATCGAAAACCATATAATGATCTTTTATCACTAAAAGAGTTTCTTTCTTATTCATATTTCCATGAAGAAATTTCTTTAAAAGTTTAGACATTAATTATCAATTACTGACCTGATTGTAGATATTATTTATGATTAAATATTGATACGAACATGACATCATTAACTTATTTTCCTTTTTGACCATGTTATAAAGTTGTAGTTCCACTTGAAAAAATACTATACAAATTATATATGAATTATATTATTATTACTAATAAAAATTGTGTAGTATAATTTTATATTTTAACATCTCATTTAATTTTACATAATTTATTTTTTATTTATTTAAAATTTAAAATTTATATTAATTATAAGTAACATAAATTATGCACTAAATGAATGTTTTAAATTTGTATTAACGTAATATAAATAATGTTGCTTAGATGGATAGGTTAGATGGAGAAAAGATTCTCTTATTATATATATATATGCTATTTTAGAACTTTAGAGATAATGTTCTAAATTCGAAAACAAAAATTATTTTTGTACTAAAACTTATATTTGTGCTATCCATATTTTAAACGTTTTATCTCAATAAATTCAGACAGACTCAAACACTAACTACTATATAGATGCAACAATTGAACATGGACAAAAGCAAACGCCTTATGAGTGCAGACGAAAATAAAACAGATTACGACTATTTTCATCACGACGTCCACTTGCAATTTTTAATTGTCTCATGTCTGTTTCGTGAGTCCTCAAACTAATGGGCCGTTCAATTAAAATTTTAAATTAATAAAGAAATATGCGTTACTAGCGTTAGGTGTGGGATTTCATTTTTATAAAAATAATAAAGATACAAAAAAGTTATGCTTTTTAAAATTTTTTAAATTTATATATATATATATATGAATATAATATGTATTTTTAATAACTATAAACATGATCTTTTTGCTCGAAATGTAAAAATTTAATACGAATAGGCATGTCAATTAGATTAGTCTTGTGTAACGTCCCGATCGTCTCTACTAATGGGTCCCACGTCTTCTTTCGGCCTCATGAGTCCACTTCTTCTCTCTGGCCCATAGGTCCACTTCTGTACGACGGTCGGTCTGCTACGTCCGGGAGTTAGAACTAATAAGGGAGTTAGAACTCACCTGAAAAGATTTTCGGACTGAAAGAATGGTTAACGACAATTCTAGATACGTCCCAAACTAAAATCAACCGTCTATCAGAAAAATCCGTAAAATATACCATCGAAAAGATAATTTCAAGTGAAATCGTAATCAGGTATTAGATTTCCCAAAGCCGGTTTAAAAGCAGCCGTACCGGTCCAAATTACGATCGGTTAAAATTCAAAACTCAACCAATTCAAAATTCGATTTCAAGCGAGT